CCCTCAAGGAAAAGTCTCTCCAAAAAAAAAAAAAAAAAGAATTATTGGAAGGAGAAGGGCTGGCATTGGCACTGTTTTTCTTTGTCTCAGTCAATCAGAGTTCAGCCCGTATGGCTTCCCCTTGGTTGAACTGTAGAGGAGCAGTTTTAGGGGGGCTTAGTGAGCCCCCTGACAACTGGGAGACTGCCTTACCCACCCAAGGCAGTCTGGGTACTCCAAAGTTTGGCGCTAAACCCAACCCTTCCATTTTTACTTCCTTTGCTTCTTTTTAAAAAGAATTATTTTATTTAACCTTATTTTAATTTTTTAATAATTATTTATTTTATTTTATTTACTCATTCACTTATTTTTTTTAATTTGACCAGAGAGAGACAGAAGGTGAGAGTGAGAGAGAAGAAGTGAGAAAGCAAGCCACCAGATTCAGGACTCGAACCCTGGTCAGCCATGTGGGAGTGTCCAGCACCTTAATCACCACGCCACCTGCTGGTCCCCACCTTATTTTAATTTGACCAGAGAGGGAGAGGGAGAGGGAGAGAGAAAACAAGCTGCCAGGTCTGGGACTTGAATTGTGGTTGGCCATAGTGGGAGTCCAGAGCCCTTAACCACCGCACCACCTGCTGGTCCTTCCTTTGCTTCTTAATTTGGCCTTGGTTTGCTTCAGTTTTCTCCCAACTCCTTCTGCCCTAGTGAAATGAAAGAGCGGGCAAAGGTAGGTTTAATTAAGTAAAGACATTGGGAAAACCAAAGTAGACAAGGAGAAGAGAACCATCAGTAGACTCAGAGAAGAGAGGTGGGGTCAGAAGGGGGCATGGTTGGTAAGGCTCTGGACTCTTACCTAGCTGACCCTGGTTTGAGTCTCAGACCTGGCTGCTTGAAAAATCACACTGATACATGTACATGTGTGTCCCAAATCCCAGGAGGAGGATGGAGGAGAAGGGATTGTGGTGTGATCATTCCCCCTGGGGGTGATTTCTCACTTCCCCTCTCTCTGAGTCTCTCTGTCTCTGGTGAGTGTATGTGCCCTCAAAAACCTAAACAAAGGGACCAGCAGTTAGCGTAATGGCTATGCTGTTGGACTCCCATGTAGTCGACCGCGGTTCGAGTCCCGGACCCGGTGGCTTACACTCATGTCAGGCGCGTGTGCATGCATGTCCAAGATCCTGAGAGGAGAATGGCGGAGAAGGGATTGCGATGTGGCCACACACACACACACACACACACACACAC